CATCACAACAAAAGATATATATGACCATTCACAAGTTATCGCATTAAAGTGAAGCTCACGGCAGATATCAGTAATCCACTGGCTACTCTCTAACTTTAATGCAAAATTTGTATCAGTACCAATGCACATACGAAGAAACTAATTCACACAGAACAGTTTCCAGAAACAAATCAATGAATCTGATTTAACGTACAAGATTGATACACCATTAAACAATATAACCTTTTATCAAATTAAAGCCAACACTTTGTTAGACCGGTCCATTGGACCGATCCAGCCGGTCCACACGGGACCGGCCCAGGCAAATAGAGGCGGAACTTCTCCGCATCTCCGCAGAGGCCGATCAAGCCACAAGTTTTTGGGAGCCGAATAGGAAAGATTTTTGGGGGGATTAAGAGGGAAATTTGAAAGTAGGGGCTGTTTAGGGATTTCCTTTTGATTTGTATGCATTAAATAGTTTGTTTTCCTAGGGTTAGGGCATCTTGAATTTGACTGAAATTTGAGATCTCTTAGATTTAGGTTTTCTTCGGCATCTAGAGATTTAGGAGAGATAGATCCTCTTCTCGAATTGATGATCAACTGTATATTGCTATTTTCCGTTTCTATTTCATCAAATAATACAAATTTTCTAATGTTTTCTTATTTTTGTGGAGGATTTTCGCGAGGATTTTCGCTGTTTTTTTAAAGATTGATAGGAATTACTTGAGACGTTCAAGTGTTTCCTATCAAGTTGGTATCAGAGCAAGTCTTGGGATCATTCGTGGGCTGATTTTGGCGAATTTCAGCGGCTAAATTTTGGCCGAAAAAGGAGATAGTTGCTGTTATAGTGATCTAAATCCAGAATTTTTGAATTTACAAAAATCAGGATAGAGATGGAGGCCAATAAAGTAGATGCGCTAGAAGAAAGACTTGAAGGAGAGATGAACCAAATCAAGATAAGGGTGGAGGAAAGGATTTCCTCCATGGAAGTACAAGTAGCCGATCTCCGGGACATGATGAAGAAAATGATGAAAATTCACAACCAAACGTTAGCTTCCGTGGCAAAAAGAGTGGAAGGGGAAAACACGAATTCTGAAATTCGTAGGGAGGAAGATTAGGTGGAGATCATGAAGGGAGAAAGAAGGAAATCTCATATGGAGCCTTTCCAGAAGGAGGATAGAGAAGGTAGGTATGGGGAGAGGTATGAGTATGGAAGGGCGGAGCAAAGAGGTGCTGATTGGGAACACAGGGAGGGATATTATGGAAGCTGGGGTGCTGAATTTGAAGAAAGAGAGGAGAATTCGAAGGGATTTGGGCTATGATAGGGCAAGGGAAGACCAGGAGACATGGGGAGGGCCAAGCACTTGGGAAAGATGAAGCTATGGAGGAATAAGGGGATATGGGGGAGATTCGAAGATGAGGAAGCTCAAGATGCCCATATTTGAAGGGGATGGTACAAATGGGTGGATTTATAAGGTGAAAAGATACTTCGCCATCAATGGGCTAACTGAGGAGGAGAAACTGACAGTGGCAGGCTCGTGCTTGGAAGGGAAGGCACTGTCATGGTACCAGTGGAGAGACCAGAGGAGAAATATCAGGAACTGGAGTGAATTCAAGGATTGCATAATAGAACGTTTCCAAACCGACCATGGAGGAGATTTCTATGAGCAGTTCTTTACTCTGGCGTAGGAGAGATCAGTAGCAGACTACCAAGAGCGGTTTGAGTGCTTGGCCAATAGGGTGGAGCGATTATCAGATATTGTATTGGAGGGGAACTTCATGAAGGGGTTTAAGGCAAAATCTGAGCAGCAGTGAAGATTCTGATGCCTCGAAACTTGAGGGAGACCATGAAATTAGCACAGCTAGTTGAAAATCAGAGAAATCTGGAGAGGGCAGCGAGGAGTAGCAACACAGAGGGCAGTTACAGGATGATGACTACTCATTTAGCACCCAAGGGTCCGAGATCAGGAGGATTCCATGAGACCACTGGGGAGAAGCTAGTAGGAGGGAGTGGGAAAAATTTTGAAGAGGCTGACAGAGAAGGAGATACAGGAGAAGAGGACAAAGGGGTTATGTTTCCGGCGTGATGAGAAGTATACTCCAGGACACAGGTGTAGAGATCGAACTCTTCAGGTTCTCATCGTCTGTGATGACGAGGAAACTGAGGGAGGTGAGAAAGAGATGGATGATTAGTTGCATCTGGATGTGGCGAAGGTCTCCCTGAATTCAGTAGTAGGATTCACTTCGAATCATACAATGAAGGTAAAGAGGGAAATAGTAGGCATGGAGGTGGTAGTATTGATTGACAATGGGGCTACCCATAATTTCATTTCCACTGAGATTGTCAACCAACTATGAGTGAAATTGGTGGACACCGGTTGTTATGGGGTGATGATGGGTACATGGAAGGTGGAGAAAGGTCAGGGCCCATGAGACCTGTAGAGGAGTGGTGTTGACCATTCAGGGGATTCAGGTAAGGGAGGATTTTCGTCCACTAGAGTTAGGAAGTACTGATGTCATCCTGGGGATGAAGTGGTTGCAAACCTTGTGGGAAGCCAAGGACAATTGGGGAGCACTCATGATGGAATTAATGGTGGATGAGAGAAACGTGGTTATAAGGGAAGATGTAGGGCTATCCAAAGCCCATGATTTCACTTAAGACCATGGTTAGGGACATACAAGAGGTGGGGGAAGATTTTCTGGTGGGACTACACAGGCTGGATGTTATAAGATTGGAGGAGGGAGGGGATGTTTCTCTTTCAGTGCAGCCCTTGATTCATCAATTCGGTAAGATTTTTCAACCACCTCAAGAATGGCCACCTCCACGGGAACACGAGCATATTTTCACCTTGAAGACAAGGTGGATCTTTGGGAGGGGAGTATCGTTAGACTGGTCCATTGGACCGGTCCAGCCGGTCCACACGGGACCGACCCAAGAAAATAGAGGCGGAACTTCTCCACCTCTCCTGCGAAGGACGATCAAGCCGCAGGTTTTCGGGAGCCGAATAGGGAAGATTTTTTGGGGGATTAAGAGGGAAATTTGAATGTAGAGATTGTTCAGAGATTTCCTTTTGATTTGTATGCATTAAATAATTTGTTTTCCTAGGGTTATGGCATTTGAATTTGACTGAAATTTGATATCTCTAAGATTTAGGTTTTCATGGGCTCTAGCAGCATCTAGAGATTTGGGACAGATTGATCCTCTTCTCGAATTGAGGATCAACTATATCTTGCTATTTTTCATTTCTATTTCATCAAATAATACAAATTTTCTAGTGTTTTATTGGTTTTGTGCGGATTTTTTGGAGGATTTTCGCTATTTTTCTAAAGATTGATAGAAATTACTTGAGATCTTCAAGTGTTTCCTATCACACTTCTAAATTCATATAATCAAGTAACTGTAGAGAATGCTAATATGATCTAACATTTAACAACTAGAACATTCATATATTTTTGAAGAAACAGTAGTATAAAACCATGCCATATGCAAATAAATGGATTTCGCGATTAAGCACCTGTTCATGCTTCTTCATCAAAGAGTGATCACCAAACTTGTATTCACAATAAAAAAAAAAATTGTTCATTTGTTCATCCTCTTGCATGACCTATCTCAACAAAATGAGCTTTTTGATAGACCAAGAATTATTTAAAAATGAGGATAATTACCTACGTAGGGACTAAAACTGATAGAATGCTCCATAACACCTCGCCTTATGTAACTCCCATCTAACAACCGACTCTTGCAAAATTGCACGAAAGTCACTTCATCACGGCATCTTAACCATTTTCTAATCATGAATCATTTAATCAAATTATGAATATGTGGCATTCCATCAAACTATCCCCGAAAATGAATTGCATACAAATCCACAGCTGAACCATTTTATCCGCTTAACAAAAATGAAATTTCCTCCTAGTACTTGTTTCCACTGAGCAGCAGTGGGCACCATCAGCTGAACCATTTTATCCGCTTAACAAATATGAAATTTCCTCCTAAGTACTTGTTTCCACTGAGCAGCAGTGGGCACCATCAGCTCCACACAGTGGCTACTGCAGCTGGAACAACCATATGCAGGGGCTTGCTTGCAACTATATCTGCCAAACATATGGGTTGAACATTGTTAGAGTGGCAACCATAGGTACAGCATGTCATTGGAGCTAACCTGCACAGGCTTGCATTCAAACAGAGACCCCCATGCGAATGTTCATAGCAACCAATCAGAGGATGTTCTACGGGAATTTCAGGGTCTAAATTCAGAGAGATGGAAAACTACTTCTAGTATTCCCAATGGTGTTTATCAGCCTGGTATTTTTGAAAGAGGTAAATGTTTAGAGAGTCACAAATGTAATAGTTCAGAATTTGGTGTTTAAGGAGTAATTCTAGCAATTTTAGATGTTATAATTTTATGGTTTAGAGTATTGCATATGTAATATTTCAGAATTGGTATTTCAGGAGTAATTCTAGTAACTTTTAGGTGTTGCATGTGTTGCCCCAAGAATTACTGAAACTTCAAAGTTGAGATTGTTTCAAAGATAATCCTTCACCATATTCTTCCTTTCTGATAAAGAAAATAAAATATCTAGTTCAAACAACATCGAAGGAATTGGCATATTACCCATTCAAAGCCTATACTTAACCAAATTGGGATGTTAGATCGGATATTGGATCAAAAGACAACAAAATAATCAAAGATGCTGGGCAGATTTAGGGTTCCAACTGGTTCCAAGAGAAGTATTTAAATAAAACTAAATCATTGTTGATTCTTTAGCACAATGATTGGTTAGGGTTTTCAACACAAATGTGCTACTTTCCCTCTCTTATTCAGTAAATAAATTAGACCTTGATGCTCATACATGTGAAAAACAGCTAATGTTGCAAATTCAGAGTGTACAAACTGTAAAAATGAATCAACAAACAAAAAATCAAATTACATACGAATTTAATAAATACATTGGACACAAGTGTGAAAAGTAGAAATGCCATGAAAAAATCTGACTGCACGACTTTCTCAGTAACTTACTGAGCACATTCAGCGAGTTTGCCCAAGTTCTGATTATCCAAAATTGCCAAAATCAGCTGCTTGTTTTCATCCAAATACTACAATAAATAAAGAAGTAAGTGAATTAAGAAAATAACATTCTATAAAGCAGACACAACTTGGGGTGCATGTGCATTACATGCATACTAGTAAATTAGTATGGAAGAAAATAAAAAATTGTGATGAACTCATACAAGTGGAAGGACGAAACATAGAGAAATACAAGATAGTCTGGATTTTAACCATATTAAATAATATTTAAAACTCTTTTACTTACAAAACATACACTCACATCATTTTTTGGAACTGTCCAACTTGTGATATTATGCTCTCCACGATCAAACCGTTGGATATTTAACAAAGAAAAAAATACATGGATTAGAGTTTTATTGTGAGTTTCGATATTTGATTGAAACTTTGAAAATTGAAGGAAGGTAATATTAATTTTATAAATAGTTTAAATTTTAATGTTATGCATGTAATTGCTCCTAAATAATTTATCAAAAGAAGTGTCCAATTATTTATTTTAATAATTAAAATCAAATATGACCTATGGTATTATCATAAGAGTTCCAAGTATCCAACATAAATTGGATAATAAGATGCCTCACATATAGTCCTATGAACACACGGATATTTGAAATCAAAGAAATTTCATATTATATTATTATCATACTACAATAATTATAAATCAACAAGGAAGAGGGAAGCTCATCAAAGCATGTCTAACACTTAGAAAATCTGGGAACATGGGAATCAGCACATTTATCAGCCATGAAATCAGGAATATTGGTACCTTCAACTGGCCTAACAATTCTACTAGAAGGTTACAAGGGGAGCATATCATTTGTATGCCTGAAGCAAAAGAACTGTCAAAAGGTGCCCAAGCAGAAAGAAGATGAGCATTCACAATTAAGTACGCTTACAAAGGAGATGATCAATTTAGCATAGAAAAAATTCAACGCTGAGAACGTGGGAGAAGTTATGAAAGAAACTTCAAAAAGGTGCATCCCCGTATATTGTTCAAAATTATGTAATATGTGGCAGGTCTTGAGGCACAGTTCAGCATAATAAGCAACAAAAAAGCTTTGAGACCCTTCTCAGGTGCATTAGGTGAGGCTTACACCTCAAGCTTTAGGTGTATATATATAGTACTTATCCTATGATGAACAACATCACCTAAAGATGCAAGCATTGAGAACGACACGTGCCGTTCATTCCTCACAAATAGTTGTCGGCCTTCCCTAGTCCCCCTGCGCAGATGCTATGCCCTCCTCCTAGCCTAGTTTGGATCTTCTAGAAGGAATTCCATACTCCAACCAAATAATTTCTCTAGAAGGTTAAAATTTACAAATTCTATTTTTTTGTTTGTTTGAATAAATATAATTTCTTTGTATGGATTAATTAAGTTGTTTATTTTTTTAGATGTTTTTATGTTCTCAAATTTGAATCAACATGAAAATATAATGCTCAAGTCAACGCTGGAGGAAGCGATGAAATATATTTTTATTTAAAGTGCAGTAATTGAGAGAAGGTAATTAAATGGGGTGCTACAAGGATGAAGAATGACTCTTCGACTCACATAAAAATATGTTATCGTGTGCAAAAGTGATAAAAATAGTAAAATAAGAGATATATTCATACAAGAATAAGTCAATGATGTCAACGCAACAACAATTAGATGTTAGAGTTGATGTTGGATCATATCATGGGAGTGAGCATTGTGGTAGAGAATCATCATTATCCTTGCCATCAATGTCTAATAGAAGTGCAACAGATCTAATAATCAACACATGATAAATTTAGAGGGTGATAGGCAGGGAGAGAGTGGTATCTACAATTCTACATAGTAGAAGATGTTTTCAGAGAATGTTAAGTTTGCATTTGCATGCATATTAGGAGGTTTTTCTATGAGAATGCCATGTGGCAACCTCCTTTTCTTACTATAATATGATCAACTCTATAGGCGCTCATGGTTGAGGCTTCAAACCCTCGTCCAAATATCACTTAAGAAATTAGATTTTGAAGGAGAAGTTAAGCAATACAGAAAAAAGGCATTGAGGAAATTAAAAGGGCTTGGAGTCAATCTAGAGTGACAATCATGTCTGATAGTTGGTATTATATTAAGAGCTAAAGCCTAATTAACATTTTAAAAAATAACCCCTACGGAATTATTTTCTTGAAATCTGTTGAAACATCTAATCAATTGAATGTAAAATACATTTATGGATTGCTTAATGGAGTATTAGAGGAGATCAAAGAGCACTTAATTGTATATGTTGTGACAGTTAAAGCCAGTGCTTACAGTACAGCGGGGAACAAGTTGTTTTCTAATTCTTAACAAACAAATGGATCATTAGTAACTGAATGACCTTCAATTGTATAATTTTGAAAGAAAATTAAATCTTATGACCACATTACACAAAAATCCACTTCAAGATATCCAAATAATGTGAAGTTAAAACCGTATCATATCCTTGCATATTCTGAAGTGAGTTATCTATTCACCCACTCTTTTACATTCCATATCCTTACAAAACTAACATTTTGTGATTATTCATGTTAATTGTTGTGTATATTTAAAAAATGAATTTAAGGGCATTCACATTGAACTCAACATGATTACTTCTATCTCTTCCATAAATACAATTTAAGAAAATTGTAGTTAAATTGTCTAGCTTTCTTCCCCACTCATACTCATAATACACAAACCCTTAACTTAGGTAGCATGTAGCATGTACTAAGGTCCAGAAGTAGAGAGAAGTTTTGAAATGTTCATACGAAGCAGCACTTGAGTGTTTGAGGTGAACAACAAAAGGAAAGTGTAGTTGGAAAAGCACCATCTGTGTTTCAGGATCAACCTTCTCTAACAAACAATGCAAATAAACAATAATTCAATATATCTTCTGGGTGACAAATGTTATAACTATGGAAATGTCAAGCTTTCATCGCAATGGGATTGTTGAACCTGCCTTCTGGTAAATTTTAACCCAATATCTAGTGTTACCTAGAATGTTCTTAAGTAATTTTAAGCTTTCTTTTTTATCATCATTTCCTAAAGCTATCAGATAGGATAACATTTAGTGTAAGTATATTTGGCCAACACATGCTATTTATATAATTATTATTTATTGACATATGTTACTAAATCAGATAGATAACATCCATTAATAATGCAACATCACATATGTAAGAAACTCTAGAGGCCTTGCTGTGCTGCATATTAATTTCCAGATTTCACATATTAAATGGTTAACAGAGGGAAATCTACATTAATGCCAGGAAATCAAACACCAAGCCAAAATTACCTAACATATTAGATACTATATCAAATTCTTTCACAAGTTGCTAGATTTAGTCAGGATGCAGGCTAAAACTCGCATAACTTTTTTTTTTTTTTTAGCCATATAAATCTTACGAGTTTCTTAGATTCTGTTTTCCTCCTATTTAGGCTGAATCCAGGATTTAGTAAATTTTACGAGCAGCAGTATTTAAGAAATTTACACAACTTTTTCTCCTTTATTTAAATACTAAATCTTGAAAATTTCTGCCAAACAGATTGCTAGGATTTAACCAGATTTGATGTCTACATGCCAAATAGTTTTTAGTATTTGACGCCTCCAATATTTGATTAATTATTATGTGTGGACGCCGAACGGACGGCGACCAACCAAAGTGTGCCACATCATCTCTTTGCTGGGTACCGCGGCTTGATACTGCTCGGTACTGTTGATGTGGCTGCACCTGATTCGCCTCCGGACGTAGAGCTACGTCCGACCTCCGCACAGAATAATTTCTCCCAATATTTACTATATCAGAATTTACAAGATTTACCAAATCTTACTTGAACCAAACAGCCCATTAGCTAGATTTATTTTACCCTCCAGTGGTTCGAACTTATAATCCAAAAGAGTTCATAACCAACCTTGTTGCTGAGGAAAAGGTGGAGCAAGAAATTTACTGGTCGTATATAAAGCAAACAGCCCATCCCTACTCTCACACATATTCTTACAACTATCAGAATCAGAGATGCAATAAATGAACATCACCAACAGAGATAGCTGAAAGCCCCAACCCACGCACTTCTCCCACCAATGGGAAAGCACGCATGACCAGCCCCACTTCCACATCCTTGATTTTTCCAACCAATGGAAAAACAAATCTTATATCCCCCAAAGAACCGAACTTCGATCAAAATCACACGTTTAATATCAGCGGCTCGCCAGCAGCTTAACGCCCAAAGCAGTGGTGATAAACCCCATAAACAAATCCCTAGCTAACTAACTGGGACAAGTTCAGAGCTAGGGATTCGGGTTTTATACAAGAAGAGGAGGAGACAAGGAGCAAACCTTCTGAATCTGCTCTGTGGTGATGTTTGCCGGCGAGATTTGGGACATCGGATGCGTAGGTTGCTGCATTCTTGCGTTGTCTTGTCGTATTCTCTGCACAGAAAGACTCCGCCTTTTTAAGTCCTGGAGCGGAATTCCCCACTGGTGATTCGATAAGCGAAAAAAAAAGGGATCTTCGAGGGAACGGTAGATAATCAATAAGAATGGCGGCAGCGAGAGTGGAGACGAGGAAAGTAGGAATTTTTGGGAAAACGGGCGCGGTGTGCTCAACGAGGTGGAAGAGAAATAGGAGAGTGGGGCTGCTTGTCTGCGCCTTGTGGACGACGGAGAGAGAGGAGGGGGGCCGCTTGACTCGCTAACCGAGTGGGCCTTTGGCCGATTTTGCCGTTTTAAAACTGAAAATTCCCCGGTAAAAAAAAAGGAAAAAAAAAATGCTAATTTTAATTGCATACAAATAAATATAGGGCTAGGAGTTTAGCTATAAAAAAAATGCTTTTTTTTTTTTTTTGGGGAAAATTTGGGCTAAGCCCGTATATTGATCAAAACGATTACAAGTAAGTAAATGAAAATACTAAAGCCATTAATGGCTGGCTTGAATAAGCCCAAAAAAAATTGAAGAAAAGATACAATTAAAAACTTTAAAAACCATCAAAAGAGGATGACAGAAAAACGTAAAAACCCGAAGCAGATAGTCGGTTGCTCAACATCCAAAATTCCCCAAGTCATTCACCTACAGCGGCGAGTAACACCAGAGTCAATATTGCATTCATGAAGAGGTCTCCCTTGCCCATAGCACCTGGACTCAGATTTTAAAGAGACAAAACAGCAGAACAAGCACATCTCTGGTTGCCTATGGAAACCCATAGACCATCCAAGAGCATGTGTGGGGAGATTCATCATAGTCCAGGTGGGCAATTATGCACATTCCCGCTGAGCAATAGAAGCAACATGAGACACACAATCTGCCCCACTTAATCACATGAGATTAGATCAAATGCTAATTTTAATTGCATACAAATAAATATAGGGCTAGGAGTTTAGCTATAATTTCTTTTATAAAATAATATAATGATCAAATTACTCAAGTTTAAAATTATTAAAATACTCAAATGATGAATAAATGATTTATGATCACGAGTCCATTTGTCTCATTCAATTGAGTGCTGTAAATAAAAACTCAATTTTTATGTGAAAGAGATTCATAGAGATCTTAAGAGCTCTATTGCATTGCTTGAAGATCACCACTAACGATCACCATTAGCAACCACAATCATGATCACTTGACCATTAACATTTGACCTAATCTTTTAATTTATTTTATTTGATCGTGAAAACCTGGCTTTTGTATGATTATCATTGCTCGACTAATATTGTATAATTATCTCCTCCTTCCATCTCTTCTTTTGTAATCTCTATAATATAAATAAAATAATTATTCTTAATTATGTAATATGTCATCTTCACTTGTGTTCTAGAGCAAACTCTTATATCTTGAATTGTATAGTGGAATATTTAGGTTGGGCAAAGCCTCCTGGTTTTTCTTTTTTTTTTCTTTAAGTTTTTAACGTAAAACATTTTGACGTCACTCATAAATATTTGTGTAATGGATCTTCGTACAAATTTAAGATTCATAGAGATCTTAAGAGCTCTATTGCTTGCTTGAAGATCACCACTAACGATCATCATTAGCAATCACAATCATGATCACTTGACCATTAACATTTGACCTAATCTTTTAATTTATTTTATTTGATCGTGAAAACCTGGCTTTTGTATGATTATCATTGCTCGACTAATATTATATAATTATCTCCTCCTTCCATCTCTTCTTTTGTAATCTCTATAATATAAATAAAATAATTATTCTTAATTATGTAATATGTCATCTTCACTTGTGTTCTAGAGCAAACTCTTATAACTTGAATTGTATAGTTGAATATTTAGGTTGGGCAAAGCCTCCTGGTTTTTCTTTTTTTTTTTTCTTTAAGTTTTTAACGTAAAACATTTTGACGTCACTCATAAATATTTGTGTAATGGATCTTTGTACAAATTTAAGATATTAAACACTTTCTCCACTGTTGTACAATTTCTAGCACATAACATATTTGATTTTTTTTAATTTTTGTGTGCCCGATCTTCATATCACAACTTTTTAGATTGAAAAAAACTGATCTTCTATGAAGGGGTCAATTTGAGTTATTCAATTGAGTGATTTAAATTTTGTCCAAATTTATCTAAATGAATACAAAATATGACAATAAAATGTGTCTATTTCTATTATTTGAAATGAACATGGGGATACATTTCATATAATTCTCATATATTTATATATATGATTCATTTTAAAAGAATAATTGATCAGCATGATCTCTAGGCAATAATTAGATTAAAAACTTTTGAAATTAAATTAAAAAATTTTTTGAACTCCAATTTCAACAAACTTATAATTGAATTGGACTTCTCGACGAGACGAAGCTATCGACACCACAAATGATCCAATCAGAGTCCAAGTAAACCCAATTCAAGCACATGAAGCATTTTTAAAAAAAAAAATATGAATAATAATTGAAGGATCAAACGATCTTCAAATTTTGTGTGCTTATAATCAAATTGAGTATTTCGACAAGACAAGACAAATCCAATAAGCTCATGATCATTTATTTTGATATCATTAAGATAATCAAATGTTGGATAAATAGCTTAAGATCAAGCAAATCAATATATACCTTTTGGTGGAATGTTTTAGATTATGATCAAATTTACCAAAAAATACCCCTCTCAAAGGATATAACTATGTTCTCATTTTCTAAAGGAGAGAGGGTTCGAGAGTTGAGAGAGCTATGAAACTCTATTATTATAATATATGCAACTACATAACCCGGTAAGACTCTTTTATGTATCAAGGTATGCCTTAAAATTCAAATTAAAGATTCTGGAATAGAGTAAAAAAGTTTGAAATGCAAATAGAAAAATCTCTCTGGGAGCATTGCAACATTGTGCCTTGGAGCGCAATGGCGCTTCCATATATGTATAGGAGGTTATGTTGGAGGGAGCGAAGTAGCACTACCCATGTTGGCACTATCCTCTCTATTTTGGAGTAGGGTTTGAGGGAGCTCAACTGTACTAACCACTAAAATGAATATAGATATATATCCCTATGTTCATTTCAAATAATAGAAATAGACACATTTTATATCATGTCTAAAGTGTTCTACACGAGTTTATATTCATGTTCTGTTCAAATAATATATCTGCTATTTTGCACAATAGGTCAAGTATTTATGCTCTGTTCTCCTTCTAGTTTTTTCTGTTCATTACAGATTTCAACATGGTATCAGAACCAACCAGCCAGGTTGAGATATATCGCTTGGAAATAGTTAGATTGACAGGAAAGAAGAGACTATGAGGTAGTAGTTCTTTGAACAATGGTGCCACTGCTCACTTAACTCCATACATTTAGTCAGTCCAGCAACTAGCAGTTTAGAATGGCTCAGATCATGTACTAGCTGGAAACGGAACTTTGTTATCCATTCTCCATTATGTGAAAGGACTTCTCCCTACACCTTCTAGTTTTCCCACCTCTCCTCAACAACTAATTCAAGGTGATGTTTGGGGACCTTCTCCCATTTTTTCAAATGCTGGTTTCTGATTCTATTTATTGCTTGTTGATGATTTTACTCGTTTCACATATTTTTTTTTCCTTTACATTATACTAGATGGGTGCCAATCCTACTAAAATTGTGTATGGATCTACTATTCCTCCTATCTTGAGATTTCTAAAATCTTATCGCATCTGAACAATGAATTTAAGGAACTCGATAATGAGGTAATTCATTCGTTATTTGAGGCAAAATTGAGCAACTTATAGATCTTATACCCTCCGAGCGTCACCAATTATCAGTCAATTGTTTCCTTCCACCATGTCAATTATTATCATGATACCACAAAAGAAAAACACAAATGAGAAAGAAGAAAACTTTATTTCTATATTCCCTTTTTCATAAGAACATAATAAAGTGCCATCTTTTAAAACAAAATCAATCAACTAGCTCATTGAGCCACTCAGCGAACTAAATGCAAATCCTCACACACATTATATATGTAAATTTCTAAATTCAAAATCTTTTAATTGATAGCTTAATTAAGCTCCCAACCATCATCAGATTGATTTTCAGTTGTTTATTACATAGGTTTGTGCTTATTTCTTCAACATAAAGATCCTCACCTCCATTTACTTCTTTCTGGTTCTGGGACTTTTCAGACTGATGAGGCGAAAAACTAGTTAACTATGGAAGCTATGATGTTTTTGTAAGCTAATGGCTTCGGAGAGGACATTAATGAGAATCCAGAACTATTGTTGACGTTGATTTCTTCATCGTCATTTCAAGTCCATCTTGTCTCTATGTGTGTGTATTATTACTAAATCCTAAATTTTAGGTGTGAACAAAGTAGGAAAGAAACCATCGTCATTGACGACGATATCTTCCACAATTTTAGTTTAATGTGTTTTATAAGGTAAAATCATGAAATATATATGCCTTCAACTAATATTTTTAAAAATTTATGGAATAATATATTTTTCTGGACTTCGAAAGGGTCCCATTCAAACTTAAAAGGCAAAATTATAGCTGTAACCATAATTATTTTTTTCATTACTATTATTATTGATATATCCTCAGAAAAATTATCTTGATCAAGCACGTATCTCAAGGCAAAACCGAACCGGAAACTTCAAAAATTAAATCCAGGAGCATCTGAACTCCGATTTCAGCGAGCTTATAGTCAAACTGAGCGTCTTGGAAATACGAACCCAACGACACCAAATTCAACTCGATCCGAGCCCAAATGAGCCCAAATCAAGCGCACGAAGTGCTATTGGAAAGCTTGCACCACAATTTGAGTTACCAAACGGTCTCCGATTTTAACAAGCTTATAATCGAATCGAACGGCTCGACGAGTCAAATCCAACAAGCCCAAGATCGCCAAATTCTGACATCACTAAGACCCTAATGTCTGATGAACGGTGCACGATCAAGGGATTCAATATCAACCGTCCATTTGACCACTCCCTGTTCACTCCTGATCTCACACCTATTTACAAGTCATGCCACTCCAGAAAAACTATAAATAGACCCCTCCTTTCTCATAAGAGGGGACCCAAGCAAGAAGAGGAGAAGAAGAAGAGAAAGAGAAGGAGAATTAGCTCCTCCTCGACCACCGCCGGAGTTCTTTCCACCGCCTGAATAACGCCGGAATTCTGCCGGATATTCAGGTGACGCCGGAACTCTGCACAACTTTGTAACTGAATTTCAATTCAAAAGAGACTCATTGTAATCTGATAGTCCTAACTTGTGGGATGAATCAACCTCTTGTATCTCAAATGACACTAGTAAAACTATTCAACTGGGCGAGGCCCCGTGGTTTTTCCCCTTTTTAGGGTTTTCCACGTAAAAAACCTGGTGTTCTTTTATCCTCTGTTTGTGTGTGCTAGATATTCGCGCAACGCTTAGACGAAAATTTTCCAACTCTATCGCCGCGTATATTCTAGTCCGCAACAATTATTATTATTATTATTATTATTATTATTATTATTATTATTATTATTATTATTATTATTATTATTATTATTATTATTATTATTATTATTATTATTATTATTATTATTATTATTATTATTATTATTATTATTATTATTATTATTATTATTATTATTATTATTATTATTATTATTATTATTATTATTATTATTATTATTATTATTATTATTATTATATTAATAATTTACATTGTTATTTTTTAAGAATTTAAAAATATTTTTTACAATAATTAATTTATTTTAAATACAATATTATATAATGAATTAAGATAAAATTTTAATATAAATTTTAAAGAACTATCAGTAATATAATATCTTAATAAAATAAAAAAACAGAATCAAAATAGAAAACAAATTTAGATAAAAAAATAAAATAATATATGATTAAAAATAAATAAATAAATAAATATATATATAATATATATATATAATATATATATATATATATATATATATATAAATATATATATATATTAGTTAGAAAAATAAAATCAGGTGGGAAAATATTTCAAAATGTCTAATATGGCCAGAGTCCCAAAGCTGCTTTTGGCTTTGCGGCAAATTTATTAGGTCGGTTCACCAGACCTAAATAATAGTCCGTCATGGGACCTAATAATAGGTTCGGACCATCCAAAATTTGTCATGTGGACTGTTGCTTAATCGTTGTTTTGAATGCGCTTTATTTTGAGCTTGACTGTGCTTATTTACTGCCTTACATGCACTTTGACGCGCTTGACTTATAATTAATATTTATTATGTTCCGAACGTATCTCTACAATCCCCGAAACGTTATCTCTTCATCCGGTGCCAAAAACCTAATTAATTTTTTTGGCCTTTAACTTTTTTTTGGGTGTTTTTAAAAAATTCTGCTAAAATTTTACGTGATTAGAGGCTTTCCGCTCTATTCTCAACCCAAATAAACCCTTTTCTTCGCCAAAAGGATGGACAAAATTTTAAATAATCATTTTTATAAAATGAATTAAATTAATAATTACAGAAAAAAATCTTTTTTTTTTTTTAAAATAGTTGGCAGTCTCCTTTTTTTTTTTGGGAAAAATTTAAGAGGCGTAGCCCATTCATTCTATAAAATATAAGATTACAATAAAAAAGTTGACTATTACCACAAGGCCGTCCAGTATAATCCAACATTCAGATATTTATAAAGCAACAATAACAGGAAAAAATACAATCAACCTATCAGCATTATCGCAGAAGTAAACAAAAAAACATTCCAGTAAAACAAAATTGCAACAGGACCCAGTCAATCACAAAGCCCAAAAAACTGATTACAGATAGGAGAAGATTGCAAAAATCAGGCAACATCCACAGCCCAAAAAAACACAATGCTCTCAGAGGCAGAAGTTCACTGAGAATTCAGAAAATAGAAAATTGGATATGCACGAAGAAGAATTGAATCCCTGTTGCCCCAAAGCCCTCCAAGGGATCCAGTCGAGAGAGCATCGATCACGTCAGAGAACGGCCAATGCAGATATTGGCGTCTCCAATTGCCCAATAACCTTCTTATCACCAAGTTAACAACAGTCATCCAGATTCACAGCAAAGAAGAATGCCAACATCAAGTAATTCTGTTTTGCCCATGCCATTTTGAACTTAGTAAAATTAACTCTGTTGATTAAGCTTCACAGTAGGGTACTAGAGCATTAGCATTGAATCTCCTTTCATTCCTCTCTCTCCAAATAAAGTAAATCAAACAAAACTTATAGGGAAAAAGAAGTAAAGTTTTTCTTAGTAGAAGAGAAGCTGTCGTTCTCATTCACCCAGTCTAACATTTGCAATCAGATTTGGTCTCAATCATAAAGCGCAGACTCAGGAATCAAGACAGGAGAGGAATTAGTGGGAGAAATTACACTCAAAATACAGATGAGAGGGGCTTTCAGGGGGGGAGTGACAGAGAGAGCATTGCAAATCAACCACAATATTCCTATGATGCAGAGCAGTAGCAGTTTTGAGACCACCCACAAGAGCAAGCCAGGAGTAGATGAAAAACGCTAAAGAATCTTCTTATTGCCAGATTAAATCTGCCCAGAACAGTTTGGAAGTTTTGAAAGTATTCTTGCATAATCCTTAAAAGTAGGCTTGGTTCCAGTACTCCAGGTTTGATGTGTCTTCAGAAATGGAGTCAAAATGAAAACAGACGAAATAGCTTTCAGTTAAGTCATTAGAAAGAGAATGGGAAAATGCCAAAAGCCCATCCTCGTCAATAAAAGTATTAACAAGGGCAATCCACATAATTCACCAGCTCAGGGGTCAAGTCCACCAATCTGTTATTGTACACCAATGATCCCAGAGAAAAGAGATGAGAAGATTGTTAATCTTAAAATCCAATTAGAAGTAGTAACAGCAGCAGTGGCACATATGTTTTTCCAATACTTTGAAGCTCTTGAGTGTAGGAGTTTCCAAGGGATGAGATATATTTAAGACCAGTCCCACAGAGAGAATTGGATTGTAAATTCTTAAATGAGAGAGCCAGTTGTTAAACAGTGAATTAAGGCATGAAATTAAAAATGCCAAGACCTCCTTTATCTTTAGGCAAACAGACTTTATCCCAAGAGACAAGGTGAAGCTTCTTCCCCGCATTGTGATCCCCAAAAAAAAGAAACTTAGAAGAAAAACACAATTTTTCTAAAAAAATTGAAAGCTGCTTTAGGTAAAATTGCCCCCTAATCCAATATGCGAATGAGATTAATCATATGTATTTCAAAAATTGGATCCTCCCCCTCCCCCCCCCCACCGCAAAAGACCAGCAATTGCATCCAACCAGAAATTTTTTGTAATACATCATAAAGGTGCATCCTCTCT